AGTAAATAAAATCTGAAATTCACCAGTCAGGGTATATACCCAGAGGAATATAAATCATTCTATCATAAAGACATAGGCACATGAATGTTCACAGCACTATTCACAATAACAAAGACATGGAATCAACCTATATACCAACCAATGACAGAATGGATAAAGAAAATGTGGCACATATACACCATGGAATACTATGCAGCCATAAAAAAGAACAAGATTACGTCTTCTGCCAGAACCTAAGTGAAGTTGGACGCCATTACCCTTAGCAAACTAACGTGGGAAAAGAAAACCATATACTGCATGTTCTCACTTATAAGTGGGAGCTAAACAATAAGAACTTATGAACACAAAGAAGGAGAACAATAGACACTGGGGTCTACTTTAGAGGGGAGGGTGGGAGGAGGGACTACAACAGAAAAGATACCTATTGAATACTGGGTTTAATACCTGGGTGATGAAATAAGATGTACAACAAACCCCAATGACACATGGTTACCTATGTAACAAACCTGCACATGTACCCCTAAACCTAAAAGTTAAAAAAACAACAAAAAAAGAATTTACTAGTCAGAAGATGGTTACCTCTCCACATCTGAAATAGAAAAAAAGAGAAAAAAAAAGGCCCATCAATATTAGGATGTTTTAACAGTAATTTTTAGCCTACTGGCAGAGCTACACAACTTAAGCATCCCTTGCCCGAAATGCTTGGGACCAGAACTGTTTTGGATTTCAGGTTTTGGAATATGTGCATCGCACTGGTTACCATTGAGCAGCCCTAATCTGAAAATGTGAAATCTGAAATGCATTTTCCTTGAGTGTCACGTCGGCACTCAAGTTTTGGATTCTGGAGCATTTTGGATTTTGCATTTTCAGATTAGCTAAGCTCAACCTGTATGTAAGTTCCAGAGAAAATTAAGCAATATGTGACATAAACTATATACAGTAAGATGAAAGAATATTTATAGTTCTCAAAGAAAACAATTATAAAAAGGTAAGAGGAAAAGTTGTGTAAATAAAAAAACTAGATTTTTTAATTTAAAAGCTAAGACCACACAAGGACATTTTAGTCAACAATAGACCCCACAGACAAAGGTGGTCCCACAAGATTAAAATATCGTAGTTTTACTGTCCTTTCCTGTGTTTAAGATACATAAATGCTAACTGTTGTTACAACTGCCTACAGTATTCAGTACAGCAACATGCTGTACAGGTCTGTTGTAGCCTAGGAGCAACAGGCTGTACCGTATACCCTAGCGGTGTAGCAGACTCTACCACCTAGGTTTGTCTTAAGTACACTCTATGATGTTCACTCAAGGATGTACTTCTCAGATGGTATCCCCATCAAGTGACACATGACCACACATTATATGCTCTACCTGCATGTATATTTGGACTTACTCAGCACTCTTAGAAAACTCGTAATATGGAGTGGATGGTATAAATTTAATCCCAAATATATGATCTTAACTTGGCCAAACGTGAATTTAGGCTAAAAATTTGATTCAAAAAATTCAGTTTTACAATCAATTATTTGCTATTTATCGTAAGCTGTATCAATGCTAACAGAGTGTTTAATTTAGAATTTAGTAGAGGCATTTCTCAGGAGGACAATGAATAAAGAGAGTAAATAACTGTTACAAAGTTTCAACCTTCTCAAAACACTGCTTTTCACTGCAGAAGCAATCATTTTCATAAAATGAATTTGCTAAATATAAACTGGACTGATTTCTATTTGTGAGAACACATTCCCTAAACACTTTAGAAAACAGTTTAGGCCTTAGATGATCTCTGTCAGTTTCAGGGAATCAGTGTAACAAAATGTAAATGGGTAGAATGCAAAATGTAAATCTTAATAATTCAAGTTTTCCACAATTCAATTTTATCCTGTTAGTCTGCTCTTTTACTGTAATAGAATCTTTTCAATAATGGACCTGCTTATAACTAATCATAGTCACTTTTATAAAAATTTATAGAACAAAAAAGGTAAACATCTGCTGTTGGTCTAGAGGGAAACATAAAATGGATCTGTTACAATAGCTGTAAAAATGAGGCAGAGTACAATGTAACCAAGCAGAGGCTTAGATCATACCCTGCAAATCAAATACTCTCTGGTTATGCAGGGACTACAGGAAGATCCATCAGTGAAATAATCTTTTCAGTGATAACCACTCAGTATCATGAAGAGGCAGTGCCACTGTCGACTGTGGCCTCTCGCAGTATTCCCAGCTCCTACAGTGCAAGTCTTGACCCACAGTGGGCTCTGCAACAATACTAAGTAAAATTCAAAACAAAGCAAACAAGCCCAGCAACAACGATCAAGATAGAAGAAAACCACTGTAATAATTTTCCCTAATGTCTTTGAATTTAAAAACAAAGCAAAACTATTTTAACATTTCAGACCAAGCATTTGGAAACTTTCTTCTGTAATTGACTCCCTTGGCCATACAGTCTCTCTTATAAGGTCTCAATTATGCCATTGTGGAATGGGTTTCCAATAAAACTTTATAAAACTAGGAGGCTGGATTTAGCCCACAGGCTGCAGTCTGCCAACTCCAGTTCTAGACAACAGTCAGGGTACTTTGTTCATCTAATTATAATGAAGAACAAGCTTGTGCGTTTTTCTCAGAATTCTCTCCATATGTTTGCTCTCTAAGAAAAGAATATCACACAGAGGAACATTAAGTAGGTCATGACAACAATGGAACTCTTGTGGATTTTAGTTTCCTGAAGATTAAGTAGTAATTAAGCTACCAAATTTCTTTCTCTACACCAGTAAGGTCAAAGATTTGGGTCAAAAAGCCAACAGTTTTAATCCTGGCCTCAATCCCATGTCAACAATGTAACTGTGGACTTTATCACAACCTTTCAATTTTAGTTTGCTTAAATACAGAATGAGGAAATCTCAGAGCCGATGAGAAAGCACATTTGGAAATTCTAACTTATGATACTATTATTACTACTATGAATCACCACAACAATTACAGTAGCGAACATGTGCACCAGGTATTGTAATAACTAATTTCTCACCATTCTATAACATATGACCTGCCTGCTTCACTGCAGATGGGGATGCTGAACCACAAAGGTTTCAAGGTTATGCAAGTTACCGATGGCAGACTGGGACTTGAATGCAGGAGTCTGGCTCCAAAGTCCTAAGAAATCACTATATTCTATTGCTTCTAACAAAATGAAGATGAAGAGGTTATTATTCTCAGCAGATAATCGCACATCCTAAATATATACAAAAATATTCAGCAATCTAGGAAGAGAATAGGGCAAGGCTGATATTTGCCATGATGGACTTCCTTTTACACTCAAGTGAAACTTTTCTCACAGAGACCAAGACATTTTTGTATCACTTCTTTAAAGATAACTTAAATACAATTTGTAAAACAAAAAGATACCCATACAGCCAAAATTAAGTAAAAAGGCAAAAGACTATATGGAAGTCAGATAGTTTGTTTTTTTTTTAACACTAGCATTTTACTCTTAAAATGTATGTAAGTTATTTCTCAAAATGCAGGGCATGCTCTAAATTAAAACTCCACAGTTACAGGATTTGAAGATTAAACTTTAGGGTGGAAATGAAACCTTTAAGCAACTGGTACTATTTATATCTTGTCTGTAGGCAGATTACTAAATTTTCAGGCATTAAATTCTCACCACAAAAATATGAAAAGAACCTGAAGAGTTTTTCCTTCTGTGCCTGAAGTACTATATTTGATTTTATATACTATACTTTCTAATCAGTACAGAAGAGAAAAATACCAGGAGCTCAAAAAAAAAGTACAGCTGATCCTTGAAAAGCATGGGATTGAACTGTGTGTGTCCACTTATACTGGAATTTTCTTCCATCTCTGCCACCCACGACACAGAAAGACCAACCCCTCCCTCTTCCTCAGATGACTAAATGTGAAAACAAGAATGAAGGAAATGAGAGATGAAGAAAAAGGAGGATGAAGATCTTTACGATGGTCCACTTCCACTTAATGAACAGTAAACGTATTTTCTCTCATAATTTTTTAAATTAACTTTTTCTTTAGCTAACTTTAAAAGCATACAGTATACAATATATCTAACCTACAATCTTTGTACTGTTTATGGTATCAGTAAGCCTCCAGTCAACAACAGGCTGTCACTAGTTAAGCTTCCGGGAAGTTAATCACAGGTGGATTTCTGACTGTGTGTTGTGAGTGGGAGAAGGTGTTGGTCCCTCTAACCCCCAGGTTGTTTGAGGGTCAAACTGCCTCAGTCTCAGATTAACTGAAAGCAATCCCATAAGTCTATATTTTTAAAAGCTCCCATATTACTGGTACTACCAATAAGAATACTTAAGATTCCTAGGAGAAATAAAACATCACAATATAATACAAAAATAGTAATTTTAGGGGGGAAAAACCCTCGACTTTTAAGTTAAGGCTACAGATTCTAAATGTTGAAGAATTCTAAATGAACAAAGTAGATACCAAAAAGAATTTTCTGATTTAGAATTTGTTTACAATCCAAACTAATGGCCAAACATTTGAGATTTTGATTAAGATTGTTTTATTTAAAAGGAGAAATCATGTCCAAATTACTTGAGATAAGCCTGGTGTCTAGCTGAGTCAGGGATGTTAAAATTTCAGCTGCTCCCATGAGTCATGAAAGGTGTTGTATCACTGCATGCATGTGTTTCAGCAGTAATCCTTTTCCTGACAACATCTATGCTGCGTCAGGAAGATTTTTAGAACTACAGCAATTAAAAATCATCATCAGTTATAAGATTAGCCAACTTTATATGTAACATGCCATAATATTCCTTTAAAAAATCATTACATCCTTAAACACAAGGGTTCTTATAATTTAGAAATCCAAGCTTGAAACTTAGAAATGATCAGCTTCACAAATACATTAAAACTACACTGGATACAACATTAGCAACCATATCCACAGCTCTTACAAGTTATCCTCTTACTAGTTCCCATTTTAGTAGAATGCCAAACACTTTTGTGAATATAGTTCTTTCAAATATGGACCACTTCATGAATTTGTGTGTCATCCTTGTGCAGTGGCCATGCTAACCTTCTCTGGAATATACAGTTTTAACTACTGTGTCACCATGGTTTTTACAAACTTTAAAAAAAAGCTCTCCCCTGGCGAGGCACTCCTCCCCTATTACTTCCCCCTTGCCTCTTCACCTTCCTAGAAGAATGTGCTCCCTGTTAGCCAGTCCTCCCAGTTCTGGGCCTTCTTTCCAAATCATTTCTCTTAGAAATGTTATGACTTCTATGGCTTCGGCTAACACCTCTATGCAAGTTAAGTATCAATTCAACACCTCTAATCCTAAATAATCTCTTCAGATCTAGACCCAAATTTACTTTTTCTTTCCAGCTTTGAGGTCTAATTGACAAACAGATAGTATCTATTAAAGGTACACAAAAGTGATATTTGCTTTGATATACATATTCAAATGATGACCCCCAACCAGGTTAATTAACATATCCATACCTCACATATTTTTCTTAATGTGTTGAATACCTTAATAATAAGAATTTTTCTTATTTCTTAGCAAATTTCAAGTATACATTATTAACTCCAGTTACACACTGTAAATTACGTCTCCAGAACTTATTTACCTTATTATTAAAACTGTGTGCCCTTTAACCAACATCTCCCCACTCCTCCCTGCCCCAACCCCAGCATTCTACTGTCTGTGTCAGAGTTCAGCTTGCTTAGGTTCCACAGTAAGTGAGGTCATGCAGTGTTTGTCCTTCTGTGTCTAGTTATTTTACTTAGCACAATCCCCTCCAGAGTCATCCATGCTGCTTCAAATGGCAGGATTTCCTTCTTTTTTAAAGGCTGAATCATACTGCATTGTGTGTGTAAAAACATACGCCACATTTTCTTTACCCACTCATCTGTTGATGGACATTTAGGTTGACTCCGTATCTTAGCTACTGTGAATAATGCAGCAACAAACACAGAAGGGCAGATCTCTCTTTGACACAGTGATTTCATTTCCTTTGGGTTATGTACCCCGAAGTGGAATTGATGGATCATGTGGTAGTTCTAGTTTTAATTTTTTGAGGAACCTCCACATTGTTTTCCAGAATGACCCTATCAATTTACATTCCCAACAATATACACGGGTTCCCTTTTCTTCTAAACTGTCTCTTCAGCTCTGGACTCATGTTTCAAGTGATCTTCATTGGGACTGCAGTTAACCATGGGTCAGCTGGTGGCCTATAGAGCCTTAGGAATCTCCAGAAATTGTACGCAAATTGCTGTGTGTATGTGCACACGTGCATTTTTCTGGAAAGAAGAACCATAATTTTCTTCAAATTCTCAAATGTACACATGACTCTAAAAAAAGACAAACTCAGGTAGGTCACATACTACCTGAGTATATATATCAGAAGATCCTTGGCATAAACACTAGTGTTTTGTTTTGTTTTTGAGAAAGAGTCCTGTTCTGTCATCAAGGCTGGAGTGCAGTGATGCAATCTCAGTTCACTGCAATCTCCTCTTCGTCGGTTCAAGCAATTCTCCAGTCTCAGCTTCCTGAGTAGCTGGGATTACAAGAGTGTAGTACCAACACACCTGGCTGATTTTTGTGTTTTTTAGTAGAGACAAGGTTTTACCATGTTGGTCACCGTGGTCTTCATCTCCTGGCCTCAATGATCTGCCAGCCTTGGTCACCCAAAGTGTTGGGATTATAGGCCTGAGACACCACGCCCAGCCAACACCACTGTATTTTTAAAAGTCCAGGTTAATGTGTTTATTAAAGGACTTCTATAGTTAACTTTCCCAAGTAGTAGATTCCTAAAGCTTGCTAGCATCTTCTAATACAACAGTATGGCAAACTGCAGCTGTGGATCAACTGCTTTTGTAAATAAAGCTGTATGGGAACACAGCCACGACCCTTTCATTTACATAATGGTCTATGGTTGCTTTTGCAGTGACAAGGACTGTATGGCTTGCATGACTGACGTGTGTTTAGTATCTGGCCCTTTAAGGAAAAGTTTGCTGTTATTTTAGATTTTAAAAATGCCTAAATTGAGAAAGATAGACTTAATCTTGAATAATCAAAAGAAATCCATCTTTTAATTGCATTTGTAAGCAATTTCAGATACTGGTATCAAGCAAACAAGATCTCTGTATTTTAAAAGGTAGAGTGTTCTTACCTGCCATTGCTCGCCTGCTGTGGAGAGTGTCTGGAATGATCAGAAGGCTCTGACCGCTGTTCAGGAGATCGTGACCGGCTGCGGCGGGGAGGCCTATCATGTGACCGACCAGAATGATCTGATGCTAGTGACTGAATTTCTGAAATGTCTGTTAAACAAACAAAAAAGTGCTACTTACTTTGCCACAAAAATAGCTATAGTCAGTATAAGGTACTCCAGTGATAATGAAGATAAGCTAGTAAGTATAATTACATACAAAATGGAAAAGTTAAGCATTAATTTCATCAGCCAGTGAGCAAATCAATAGTGGTGAGTTGTCTACAGGGAAAAAAAATACATATATGTGTGTATGTATGTATATATAAATGTGTATCTCAGATTTTGAAGGTATTTGGCTTGTAGAAAATTCTCATTTCATTCAAAGATGTCTAATCTCCCTAGTATTTTTAAAAACTAGGTCACTCAGAGGGAACCTTCAAACAGAATCAAACTCACCGTCTCTCTCGGAGGCATTAGCAGAGTGAATGCTGTCAGAAAGATCAGGGACATTCAACAGCGTAGCACGTTCATCTCTCTGAACTACCATTTTTAATTTGCCTTTAGACCTCTCTATCAATGTCTTTGCATCTGTCAATGACATATTTTCTGTCACAGTACCATTTATCTGCAACAGAAAATAAATTACAGGTTAAAAGTAAATGGTAAAATACAAACGTGAACTTAGTTTGCTATAAATAAGAATATACAAACCATTTTTTGCTATAAGAACCAAAATAGTCTTTCTATACTTTTCTAAACTATCAGAGTATTCCATCTTTCTGAGATAAAATCTTTACTGCACTGCTGCTGTGAGAAAAACTCAAATTAGCATCCCCTAACTCCTTCCCAAAGGCTTGTCACTTTCTATTACTTATAAACAAACAAATAAACATTTCAAAGATATCTGGAAGCAATTATCAAAACTTCTTCATGTGTAAGAACAGACACACCTATCTACACACTAGTACCTACTAGTTTGTACTGGTGAATGCCATTTATCTTAGGATGACACTCTGAAACCTCAAGTATCAGTATTAACATGTAATAATGCATAAAGGCCATTTATATCCCTCTCCCCCAAACACCGATTTTTAATTCTCTTTGGCAAAATTACTTCGAACAAGAGCACAAACTACATGGTAACTCTACAACTTGTTTTCTATTTCAGTTCATTAAAATATAAGAATATGACTATACCTTCAATACAACATCACCTTCTTGAATATTGCCATCTCTTGCTGCCAAACTATCTTGTGAAATTTCCTTAACAAATATATGGCTCGCCAATCGAAGACCATATTCTGAAATAATATTATTAAAAGTTTTTAGTGTTACCTCCTGAGACACCTAAATAGATTTTACAAGTATACAACTAAACTAATAACCACTGCATAAGTTTTTAAGTACAATCAAGAAAAAGAAATTTTCTTGGTCACTCTGCAAGTAAGACATTCCCTCTGATTAGCAAGTCTGCAATGTCTCTGTGAAGGAGAAGTGTAAATGCATTGTTCAAATGAAGGACAGATGCCCTGCGCTGTATTACTGAAAAGGAGAAAAGCCCCAAGAAGACACTATTTCTTTCTGACCAAGCATTGATACACTAGCTCTTCAGAATGCTTAAGGAATATAATTTTCTTTCAGAGACAGGGTCTTACTACGTTGCGATGCTGGACTTAAATTCCTGGGGTCAAACAACCCTCTTGCCTCAGGCTCCAGAGTAGCTGGGAATAACAAACATGTGTCACACTATGCCTGGCTAGAAATAGAATTCTAAAGAGTAAACTGCTTGAGGTTTGAAAAACTTTGAAAAGATTGACTATTTTATTGATGGTTGTTATCATGCATACACTATTCTATTTTTCACAGCTCCAAGACCAAAAATTTTCTGATTTTACACCCCTCTACCACTGGAGAGACATACATAGTAGCATACACTAAGTATGAGTGCAAAGGCTTGCAACCAGTCAGGCTGATGTGGGCAGGACACGTAATGCCAGTCCTCTCCTTTAAACAACTAACAAAGTGTCCAAGAGTGAGGACATCGATTCTATCTGTGGGTAATGATACAGTGAAAGTTGAAGAAATTACTAGCAGAGTCCAGGTTCTTAGAACAGCTGCAGAAAAACACATTTTAAGAAAAAGAAGACCAATGACTACATCTATCAATACACTAAGAACTGCCCCTGGTTCTGTGGAGAGTCTTACTGCATTAAAAACAAAACTAAAACCTGGCCAGGCGCAGTGGCTCACACCTGTAATCCCAGCACTTTGGGAGGCCGAGGCAGGTGGATCACGAGGTCAACAGATCGAGACCATCCTGGTCAACATGGTAAAACCCCATCTCTACTAAAAATACAAAAAGTTAGCTGGGCATGGTGGCGCATGCCTGTAATCCCAGCTACTCAGGAGGCTGAGGCAGGAGAATTGCTTGAACCCAGGAGAAGGAGGCTGTGGTGAGCCGAGATCACGCCATTGCACTCCAGCCTGGGTAACAAGAGTGACACTCCGTCACCAAAAAAAAAAAAAAAAAAAAAAAAAAAAAAAAAAAAAAAAACCAAGATGGAAAACAGAAAATTGTTTTTAACACTGAATAAATTAGCAGACCTACTACCTAAGTTTCTAAAAATTACATCAGAGTTAAAGTTTAACTTAAAACATTCAGGCCGGGTGCAGTGGCTTATGCCTGTAATCCCAGCATTTTGGGAGGCTGAGGTGGGTAGATCATGAGGTCAAGAGATCAAGACCATCCTGGCCAACATGGCAAAACCCCATCTCTACTAAAAAACACAAAAATTAGCTGGGTGTGGTGGTGTGCGCCTGTAGTCCCAGCTACTCAGGAGATTGAGGCAGGAGAATTGCTTGATCCCAGGAGGCAGAGACTGCAGTGAGCTGAGGTTGTTTCACTGCA